GTATGGAGTGAAGAACAGTTCAACCTCAAAAGAAAAATAGCCAAGTAATAAGACCTCAAGGACGACGATATGGACAACTTTTGGGAATTACTTTTTTGTATCTGATGTGAATGACGAATGTAATTTTGCTTTTTTTTTTTTTTTTTTTTGTAAATGAAAAAACACTAAAAGAGTAATTGTAGGTGAAAGAATGCTAAAAGAATAACACTAATACATGTTATACTTGTTATGGATTAGAATGGAACATTGTTATAGAATATAGTTATGGATAGAATACAATAATACAGTTTATATTTTGTGTCTCTTGATAATATATGTAGTTGTGGTGTTATATTATTTTTTTCACAAAGATTGCGTTAGGAGTAGCAAAGAATTTGTATATTGTTGTAAATTTTCGTACAGGTTGGAAATATTTTCCTATAGGACTCACATACTTTAAAGTAAAATTTTACTCTATAGAGTAAAATTTTACTTTTAATTCAGAAGACAAATCAGAAACTTGCATAAACAAACATTCAATAACACAGTAAAATTTTGCTATATTTTTACTTTCTATTCAAAGTAAATTTTATTCTAAAATACAGTAAAATTTTATTCTAAAATCAAGTAAAATTTTACTTTCATGTTAAGAAAACTAATGTTTTACTATCTTTTAGACTAAAATTTCACTCATATTAAACAAATTCCAACATAGTAAAATTTTGCTTTCAATTCAGAGTCAATTATACTCTGAAATACAATAAAATTTTACTCTAAATGAGAATAAAATTTTGCTTTCATGTTAAGAAAAGTAATGTTTACTATTTTTTAGACTAGAATTTTACTCAAAACCTTCATGCTAACAAACTCTATTATAAGTTCTTTTACATGAAACTAATCCAACCACATGAAAAAAAAAATATTAAAATGTCAAATTCAACTACGAAGCAAATCATAAACTTAGATAGACAGCCATTCAACAACATAATAAAAATGTCTTTTATTGAACACACAGTAGTGACCTGACACTTGTCATTCTTTACGTACACAAACTCAAATCCTATCTCAATAGCATATTTACATAACGCAATCCTTTGCACCTCTCACAAATCTTGACCTACACGAGTAATTCTATTCAACCATCCAGAAGACAACAAAAGTCATTTCTTCATAGCAACAAATAAATTTATTTCATCATTAGTAATGTTGGATCTACTTGCATAACAACATAAGAGCTAGAACCATTTTTCAAATTTGCAGTCAGTTGATAGTAAAAATTAGTGTCAATCAAAGTAAAATTTTACCGTCACTACGAGTCCAAAAACAAATCACAAAAGTATAGAATACTAGAGTAAAATTTTACTGTTATTCTATCACACAAAAACAGAGCACATAATACTAGAATAAAATTTTACTCTTATTTTATCAAACAAAAATAGAGCACATAATACCAAAGTAAAATTTTACTCCCAAACAAAAAAAAAAAGAGCACATAAACCAAAGTAAAATTTTACTGCCAAACAAAAACAGAGCACATAGTACCAGAGTAAAATTTTACTCTATTTCTATCAAACAAAAACAACTAATCAACAACTAATCCCAAAAAAAAAAAAAAAACACTTATCAACAAATCAACATACGTGATCAAACTCGAACAATAATCAAACACATGATCGAAGCAAAATCTCTAAAACTCGATCAACACTCTCAATTGTGATGAAACTCTCAAAATCTGATACAGATTTGTACAGATTTAAAATATAAAGCTCTCATTGATACATATTTTGAAATTACCGAAGAACACATGAGCGAAGCAAATTTGGTGAGATCATTGGCGGCAAATCACCTATTGTTCACCGACGGCGAGATTGTCGGCGACGAGATCTTCAGATTTCAGGATCAAGTTTTTGCAAGATCTTCACTGATTAGATTTTCAAAAATATGAGATCGTGTCTATATGGATAAGATTTTCAAATATATGGAACCAATAGAGCCTTGTGGTTCCATTGTTGTTGGAAATCAACCGTTATACTGTTCCCTACAGAGCTTCGTCAATGGAACCTAGTCGGGGCTTCTCGTTGTTAATGGAAATCAAGGGTTACACACTCAACCTTACACACACACACACACACACACACACACACACACACAGAGAGAGAGAGAGAGAGAGAGAGAGAGAGAGGAAATAGAGAGTGTGAGTGGGATGCAATCACGCAAATACGAGCATTAACTGGTTGCCCCAGTTTTAACTTTTTTACAATTAAATAATTCAATGGTCTTGATCAATTATTGTAATCTAACGGCTAAAAATTAGGTTGCATATGACGTGCAACCTTAAGGGGGTTGCACACTTAAACAGCACCCTACATATATTTATATATATGAAAGGGCAATATTGTCCATAAAAAAGGGAAAAATTATGGTATGTCCTTCCTGAGCTACTCTCCTCTTTCTCAGGGACTTTTTGAAGTTAAATTAGTTAAGCTATCATTTATCCTAGAAAAAAGCCCAAAAAATGGGGTTTCACCAAAAATCCCTTGAATTTAAATGGGCAACGCTGAGTATGAGACCTACACTTTGTATGAATATTGTTTTAAATTTTTGATAAAATTTTTTTTTAGAGTGTTTAGCATTTTTAGACTTTAATTTTTTTTTTTTTTTTTTTTTTTTAAGAATTTAATTAAGTTACGAGGAATGGTAATTGATGAGATGCACGTTTGGGCCATATTTGTTTTATACATATGGTTGGATTGGAATAGCAATTCCATACACTTTACATCAACTTTATTTGTTTTACAAAAAGAACCATACGAATCCCCTCAGTCAAAAGGGGATTAGCAATTCCATGGTGTGGTAATTTCAATCCATTCTCAAGGGATTGAAGGTGAAAATAATAACTATGTTTGGTTAACAAATTTCAAAAATAATATTTGAGTTTTTATCTTTAAATTTTTTATTTTTATTTTTTATCATTAGTAAACTTTTTTAATATTTTAAATAATTTTTTAATTTTTAAATTCATTGAATTTAGATATACTTAAAACGTAAAATATTTGTGAAAAATTCTCTAAAAATTTAAAAATATTTTTTACAAATGTTTTACTGTTGAAACATATCTAAGTTAAGTGCATCTAAAAAAAGACTAAAATAAAAAATATAAAAAATCACTAAAGATAACTGGGGAAAAAAAAAATTGAACTCAAAACCAAACAAAATAAAGTCCCCATTTATAAATTAAGAAATTTTATGTAAATCCAAAAATTTAAGGTACAAAGAATTGAATACAAGCATTACAAGAAATTTCACTTTTGGCGACTAAAATTTTAGTCGCCAAAAGCCTTGTTTTTAGTCGCCAATTACTTTTGGTGACAAATATATTTGGTCGCCCATTTTGTCGCCAACAATTTGTCAGGGAAACAATCGGCGACTAAAATTTTTTTGGTAGCCAAAAGTGACCTATTTATTTAGTAGCCAATTTGAGCATATATTTTTGGCGATCAACTATTTGGCAACTAAAAGTTTCATTTTTTGAGAATTGGCGACTAAAAATTTAGTAGCCAAAAGTTTTCTTTTTACAATTAACGACTAAAAGTTTAGTAACCAAAAGTTTCACTTTTTGACAATTTACGACTAAAATTTTAGTAGCAAAAAGCCAACTTGTGATATTTGCTTAGTAGTCAAAAGGTCTCATTTAATTTTTATAATTTGTTCCATAATATTTTTTGCGCCACCATTCATTCATTTAAAAGTATTCATCCATTCATTCATTCATCCATTCTCAACCATTCAATAAAATTATTTCTCCACAACCTGTAGCATTCAATTTTCAACCATATACAAAACTTAACTATTAATCGCACATATCAAACAAAATAAGAATCCATAAACATAGTATAATCCAACAAATACATATACTATCCAAACTAACAATTAAAATCCAAATTAAAAAAAAAAAAAACCTTAATAACAAAACATATCAGGTGTACATGTTAAGAATAAACAAAAATATAATGTAAATTGCGTCCATGCAAACATCATCAATCTGGCACAAACACATCACTGTATCCATGCTAACATCATCAATCTGTAACAAAAACATAATATTCATTAATATTTTATTGAATAACATTGCATTTACAATTATAAAAAAAATAAAAATAAATACAATTACAGTAAAGCATGAAACCTCAATAAAGCCCATCACCATGTACCAAACTTGGTAATTTGCTCTAAACGTATGTAATAGTAAGAAACATGAAACCTCAGCTTAAAATAAGTTATATAAGAAAGATCTATTAAGAATTATTTGAAAGAAAATAAAAAAAAGGAAACGGAAAAAGGGGGGAAATCAAATCCTAAAGGGGGGGGAAATGTATCAAAATAAAAGCAAAGGTTAAAAATGTGAGAATACTGCATACACTGAAAATTACTTGAAAGACTCATACAAATTGACCATTAAATTTAAAATAACAACTACATGATAAAGAAAATTGCATGTTATATGTTGCAACCTCAAATCATTGGAAATAACTTCAATTGTTGCAATTACTACTGTTACAGCAGCAGCAGCAACAACTCATCTGAGTTTACTAAGCAACCATGTAGCAGTTCAATTTATCCTTGGGTGATAATTCAATGCAAGAAATAGAAAGCAACCAATAAAAAAATAGAAGGTTGACTATAAATAAGTGCCTCCAAACTTGGCACTATTGGATCAAATGTACAGACAGGGTAAGTAAGACCTTCAACTTGAGAGTTCACATAAAGTCTTGGCTGCTAGCATTGGATCAACTGCACCAAAACGAACAACTTACTACAGTCACAAATAGGACATTCTACTTCATTATATTTTAAGTTACCAAACTTCGAAAAGAAAATGATAAGTGAACTATTGAAGCATTATATTCAGGATTCCAAGAGATAATGGGTCGCTAATGATTCTAACCAAGATTATTATTTTTTATATAAAATTACGATAAATCTAAACAGTGGCCATGTTTAGAATGCATGTTATAGTTCTAGAGCAACATAAACTTTCAAATTCAATTGTTGCAGTTACAAAAGTGTTACACTAAATAAAATTTGAAAAGGGAGTATGATTCATTTAGTGCAATCCAGAGGCAGTATGGTTACAACTGTTTCATGCTCTAGTCCTATCATGCATCCACCAAAGTATTTGTAGCCGTTGGTTCACATTTTTATTTTATTTTATTTTATTTTATTTTTCTCCTCCCTCTTTAATTTGGTCCCTAAAATATCAATTTTGAGTCTAAATGCTCTAATTACTAACATATTAAATTGGAGAACTGATTTTATCACTAGAGGGACATTGTAGACAAACATAATTAGGCAAGGAAATCCATTTCCCAAATCAAGCAACTCACAGCCAGGATCTAATTCTGATCCATCAAAATCAGTATACTCATTAGTTATAGTTGGGTAGCAGAGTTGGTTTGAGAGGTTTAAATTCTTCCACAGGTCGACCAACAAATCTCTGCTCAGTGCTGAAATTGAAATCGTTTGCGAACACAGTGTTGTGGTTCTCTGGGTCCCAAACCACTTGTTCTAATTTTTTTCATAAATGTTTTAGTGATGAACTCAGCAAATTCAGTATAACTACGCTGAGAGAAACACCAAAGAGACATGAATTGTAAAAAATGGACACAATTGTGGTTCCTTCTTGTCAAGTTCCACATAGAGAGAAGTTCTAGAAAAGTGCATATAGCTAGGCCGCCAGCTAGTACCAACCCTGGAGAGAATATAGTTCATGAAAGTGAGAACAAGAATCATCACTGCGGAAGAAATAAGTTGAACTCCCAACACTTCAATCTCTAGCTTGAGCTTTTTATTCCAAGTACAAAACTATTTTCATACAAGGAATTGTATCAATGGGCTTAATCTGACATTATGTTTCAATGGGCTATTATTAAATTATAGATGCCTTTTGCTAGATACTTTTATAATTTTAAAATCAGTAGGACATGGACACTCACGATTCTGCTCATCAATCTTTAACACTTACAGCCTACTTGTAAAAGTAGTATTCTTACCACGAGAAGTAATGCCCGGTTCATTATCCAGTTAACCTTTGTGGTGTATGATTCCAGAACAAATGTGTGATTCCTCAAGTAATTCCAGTACCTGCACAAGTAAAAAAGTTGAGATGAAATAGAGTAGTTTTTATTTGAGATTTAATGCCCATATTCCAATAAAAACATTTTTGAACCTCTACATTACAAACCTTGAGAAACTAAGATCACTTGCAAGGTGGTGAGGAAAAACAGCAACAGGTGGTGATGTAATGAGCCTGTTATGAGCCCCTGGAAATAAACAATTATATCATTAATTGAAAATAAGTGGTGTAGCAGCTAGAAAATGCAAAATTCTGAATATAAAAATTCCTTGTCATAAATACTTGTATTTACATCTAATACCTTATGCACAATCTAAAATCATTAAATTAATACCTTATGCACAATCATGGATCTGCAGGCTGCAATTGTCATGTGTTGTACAGGACATTTTATCTGGCCTTCTTTATCTTCATTTCTGCAGAACAAAAGTGTCCTTATGCTGGCTCGTATAAATGCATGATGTACAACAGAGGTGCACATATGCTTAATTAAGTTTTTCCCAAAATGGAGTGTGGATGTTAGGTTATTTCAACTCGCATTCTTAAGCAGCACATTATGTGTTACTAGAAGAAGTATTGCATCTGATCCTCTTTATTTCTATTACACTATCAATGTTACTTGTAATATGGAATTTTGTATAACCTATTTTGATGTTAAATGAAACCAGGGCCGGCCTTGGCCAGTAAGGCCTGGGCCTTAGGCCCCAAAATTTTGGCCCAAAAATAGGGCTCCCAAATTTGGTAAAATATTATAGGCTCAATGTTTTTTTTTTTTTGGTTTTAGGATCAATTTAAAGGGCCCCAAAATATTTATTGGGTCCATGTATGGTTTAGCCCATACTTATTTATAAATGTAGTTTTTTTGCTTATATTTATTAAAATGAAAATATATATATAAAAAAAAATGTTTGGGCCCAAGAAAAACAATACATACAATATATCACTACAAGAAAAGTGGGTATAAAACACGGAACTTTTTGCGACGGCGTGTATACCGTCGGAAAAAGTGGTCTTTTGCGACGGCATATGAAGCTGTCTCAAATAAATATTTTCTGTGACGGCAGTTTCCCGTCGCTAATAAGCACAAATAAAAAGTCACTTAAATACTGAAGTATTCGTAACGGCACTGTGTACCGTCGCAAAATTTTTTTTTTTGAGACGGGTGAAATTTATTGTTGCAAATAGTGGACATTTGTGACGGGAATTCTCTGTCGCAAAAAAAGCACTTATTAAAATGGCGTCGTTTTAACAAATGGAATTGATCATTTGTGACGGTTTTTCCATGCGGGTCGCAAATAGTACTGAAAAATTTCATCGCCCTCCTTCAGCCGAAATGGCGCTCGATCAAATTCCCCCAAATCCCTAACACCTTTCTCCCTCAAAACCCCCAAAATCCCTAAATCCCCGAAATCCCTAATCGAGTTCGTGTATCACAATCGCAGAGACGAGTTCGAGTTCCCAAGGCGACGACAATCAGTATGCTCTCTCTCTCTCTCTCTCTCACACACACACACACATATATTGTGGGAACGATTTTGTTTGTTTCCGTGAGTTTTCTCAACAAGCAAACACTGATCCGATCATACTCCGAAGGAACGCAACGCAACGCAATGCAACACAACACAACACAACCTCTCTTTCTTTTCTTTTTTTGGGTTCTGGAAAGATGGGATGACAATTATGGTTGGTGGTGATACTGTGTATGGGTGTCTTGGTTTCATCGTCGTTGGGTGCTGTTCAATCGGACGAGCTCCTGGTGGACGACGAAGAGTACGGACTCGAAGGGGTCCGATCTCCCCCTGATCTCCTCACTAATACTAGTCCATCTGCATCTGCATCTGCTGTTCCGATAAGTAGTAGGAAGAGGAGGTCTTCGGATCCCGATTCCGACTCCAAGGTCCAGTTCTCCCTTGAGCACGCCTTCGGTGACTCCCACTTCTCCCTCGCCGGCACCTTCACCGCTCGCCTCAGGACCTCTTCTCATGGCTCCGAGGTTCTTCTTCTTCTTCTTCTTCCCTCCCTCTCTCCTTGTTTGCTTGTTGACAAAACTCACAGAAACAAACAAACTTGTATATATTCGAATTCATTATCTCATGCTTTTGCTCTATTACTTGTATTGTGGGAATGATTTTAGAGATTGATTTTGCTCTCTTATGTTCTCTGTGTGTACTACTACTAGTAGTAGTCTGTTTGGCTGCTGCCAAAATTAAGGGAAAATAAATAGGAACCAAACAAACTTGGAAATATTATATTTTGTTTTTGGATTTGGTTCTTGAGATGAGTTTTTTATTTTTATTTATTACATCTTGGATTGATTTTACTTTTATTGTTTTTGGTTTGCTGATGGAAACTGAGAGAGACAGAAATTTGGAATATTAGTTTCAGTAACTATGAGGGTTACTTACAGTCAGAACTACTGAGCATAACAAAATGAATTTGAATTCTCAATCTTATGTATCATGTTGCATTGCTTATTCAAAATTTAGGAAAATAAAATTCATGAAAGCAAACCGAACTAGTTGTCCTTGTCTAATTACTCTTACCTCAACTTTAATTTTTGTTTTTCAAACTGTCTTCTATTCGGTTAACACAATGGCACATCATGCCTTTTAATTCCTGGTTTTAAAATTTTTATCCTTGGGACATCACATCTTGGAATATTTAAATATATGTATATATTTGGTCTTCAAATGCTATATATAATTCTTAGTTACGCAACGACATAATTCATCAGCATAAATCTTTTCAGAAAACAAGTTCTACACTTTTTTGGCAATTTTATTTCCTTGGAAATTTACCTGCCTTATCTTTCTTATTTACTTTTTATTTATTAAGCATGCTTGAGTGTTTCAATTACATTCCTTTTGTTAGTTTAACGTTATAAGTTGTTTGTAACAGACTCTCACCAAACTTCGTTTTTCAAGGGAGGCTTTTACTGAAACAGACAAGGAAAAGTTCAAGGTAATTCACTATCCACATTTATCTGGTTTCAATATTTTTACTTTTGTTGTGTGTTTGGTTAGAGAGTGAGATAATTGGAGAAATTTTAAAATAAGAGGAAAAAGAAGGAATTAGAAAGTACATTTATATTTCTTCTTGTCCAATTGAAGAAGGGAGTGCATAGAAAATTTAAGGAAGGAAAACAGCTGCATCTTATTTAAGCAGTTGTAACTTGTTCTTGATTTGTTGTACCAAATAATTTTCTTCCCAAATTTTGTCCCATTTGTGGCAAGTGCGGGACAAAGTTTTTTATAAATCATTCACTTTTTTTTTCTTCTTGAATGTCACAGTGAAATCAAGGAAACTAAAGTATTTTCCCTCCATAAAAGTCTATGGTTCTATTCTTTTTTCCCTCCATCAAGAGTTATTTATTTACTCTTAAAATGAGCAACTGAGCATTGTGCAATGTTGATGCAATGATCTTGCAGAAGCTATTGGAAGGTGATGACTTCTACAGGATAAGAGTGCCATCCAATGTATTGAGCCCTCCTGGAAGGGAGTATATTATTTCATCAGTGAAAGTGGCAAGTCTTCTATAAACCATGTTGAATGCATTAGTGTATATACATATGTATTTGCTATTTGGTTTTTGCTTTTGGGTATGGAAGTTTAGAAATTGATGACCTTTAGGATGAGAAGTTGAGGGTTAGACAGGAATAAAGAGAAGAGAACATGAGAAACCTTTAGCAATTGCACCTAGATTCTTTAAGTATTTCTCCCGAGGAAGGATGCATCACACATCCTTAAGTAATATGCTTTGAAAAATTTCTACAATAACATTACGGTTTTTCGCATAATTTTATGGTTAACTCGAATTATGAAATATGTTTGCTAGGGGAGTCTTTGATTACACATGTCAGACACCCATGACATATCCTGTAGCCTTACCCAAGTGTTGAGTGCCCTACATGGGTACATATATTTAGAAGAATCCATGTAACATTGCCTAAGCCGTAGCTTTGCACCTCAGATCAATTAAGCTAGATGAGTTGGGGAAGTTTGTTGGAGGTTGATCCCCCTGAGCTATAAGAAAATACAGGGTTTCACAGCCCGATGAAGAAGAAAACAATGAGTTTGGGTCTGGGTCTGCAGTTTCTATTTCCCATCTTTCTCTCTCTCTTTCATCCATTCCTTCTACTTCTATTCAATGCGTTTGTTATAAAAAAAAAATGCAGAACTAGATAACATGTCTTCTTTTGATCTCTCTTTAAGCTTCTGCAATTAGAACTCCTGCAACAGAAAGAAACTGACAATTTATGACAAGCCCGAGTGTTTAGAATCCTATGCTTTTCTGGGTTGAATTTGGCTAACTGGCGCCTGGGCTGCCTTACTGGGGCTGTTGTCTTGGCCCTGATAGCTCATTAGTTTAAACTTGTTCTTATAAAGTATGTCATCTAAACAATTCTTAAAGTTGAAATGATTATTGCTTTTAGTTTTTCATGTGATTCCAAAGTATTGTAGCACGACACAACGTTTTAATTTTGTTATGGATTCAATTATTTTAAATATGTGAAACAGGAAATTCATAATCTTTCAGCTCAAATGCTTCTGTTAACATTTGTAGTTTTGTTCAGTTGAAAACAATTGGATAAAATGTGACTGTTGACTCAACAATGATGACAAACAAAAGTAGACCTAGGTTTCGACTCATTTCTCTTTCTTAGGTTCAACCTTGGATGGAGGAGCTGTAGGTTTACTAGTTGAGGGACTAGAGACCTCACCCTTGGTTTAACAAAAACAGTCTGGAATTGTTTTCCAATTAAGTGCTCATATCCTAAACCACTCATGTCAAAGGGATGCTTGCTTGTGCCTATAAGATGGTTAATTGACTCAGTCTCACTTGTCATTTTTACTACAGACACCTTAGACACTCAATTCTTGTTCCAATTCAACTATCCCACTGATCTGCGATTTATTGCCTCTATTTCAGAATGCAAAGTGGCCATTCAACTCACACACTGTCTTACAGTACAGCGAGCAGGCACCAAGGTAAATACCTCATGCATTGCCTTAATCTTTCCATTTTTTAAAATAAAAGTTTTATGAAGGATTTGATTAAATTTTTATTGGACCTCAGAGGTTAAGCTTTTAGAAATCAACTTTTGATTTTGAGAGAAGTATATGTGACTGTGAATACCTCTAATGAATTTGGTGTTCTCGTATAATATGTGGCATTGTAATCCACCTGCATGTTCAAAATATCCACAGCCCACCATATCCGATGAACTTGTAATCCTACTGCATTTTCATCGCCCACCATATCCGATGAACTTGTAATCCTACTGCATTTTCATCTAATGCCCAACTACATTTCTCATTTGACCATGAAGAAAATTATCATATTTTGTCTTTCCATTTGCATTTGCAAGTTGGTTAATACAATTCTTGAAACAGAACTCCAGCATTTGCAGAAGAGATACTTGGTGGTGAGAATGGACAGGGTGAAGGTTTAAAGCCACCAGAAAGGTCCTTTTTGGCTAAATATGTAAGTATTTAATGAAGTTGAATCTATTGCATTCTTTGAATGCATATGAAGACAATCACATTATTGTCTGTTCTTTTAGGAAATACTTATTTATTCCGTAGTAGCACCTCATGTTATCATTTGGGAGACTGCAATTTGTGCTTAATGAGCATCCAGAGAGCCCAACTGTCACCAAGAATTACATGTTATTGATGATCTTTGTTCGATCTCTCTCTCTCTCTCCCTCTCTCTAAAGAATTTTTGGAATCATTTATCATGATATCATTATAGGTGTTAAAAAGTTCAACTGTAATGTTAGAGTATTTGGACTTCTTGGTGACTTCGAGGCATCAACACAACTAGTTCTTTAAGAAATTTCAATTTGAGGTGTTGACGTCCCAAAATTACCAAACGACGTCGGTTTAGCATGAAACTTGGCACACATGACCGCCTACGCACGAGAGATTTGTGGGCGAAGACGGGACTCCAATCGGGTTCCCAGTTTGGGAGTTAGTGCCAGATTTCACTCTAGGCAAACTAGTTCATCAAGAAACTTGAATTGGAGGTGTTGACGCCCCAAAATTACCAAACGGGGTCGGATTAGCACGAAACTTAGCACACACGACCGCTTATGCATGAGAGACTTGTGGGAGAAGACGGGGCTCGAATTGGGTTCCCGGTTTGGGAGTTAGCTGGATTTCACTCTAGGCAAACTAGTGCCTTAAAAAACTTGAATTCGAGGTGTTGACGTCCTAAAATCACCAAATGGGGTCGGATTAGCACGAAACTTAGCACACACGACCGCTTAGGTACGAGAGACTTGTGGGAGAAGACGGGGCTCGAATCGGGTTCCCGATTTAGGAGTTAGAGCCGGATTTCACTCTAGGCAAACTAGTTCCTTAAGAAACTTAAATTTGAGGTGTTGACGCCCCAAAATACCAAACGGGGTCGGATTAGCACGAAACTTGTCACACAGGACCGCCTAAGCACGAGAGACTTATGGGAGATGACGGGACTCCAATCGAGTTCCCGGTTTGGGAGTTAGAGCCCGATTTCGGTCTAGGCAAACTAGTTCCTTAAGAAACTTGAATTCGAGGTGTTAACGCCCCAAAATCACCAAACGGCGTCGGTTTAGCACGAAACTTGGCACACACGACCGTCTAGGCATGAGAGACTTGTGGGAGAAGACGGGACTCCAATCGGGTTCCCAGTTTGGGAGTTAGAGCCGGATTTCACTCTAGGCAAACTAGTTCCTTAAGAAACTTGAATTGGAGGTGTTTACACCCCAAAATCACCAAATGGCGTCAGTTTTGCACGAAACTTGGCACACATGACCGTCTAGGAACGAGAGACTTATGGGAGAAGACAGGACTCCAATCGGGTTCCCGGTTTGGGGGTTAGAGCCGGATTTCGGTCTAGGCAAACTAGTTTATTAAGAAATTTGAATTGGAGGTGTTGACGCCCCAAAATCACCAAACGGTGTCGGTTTAGCATGAAACTTGGCACACACGACCGCCTAGACACGAGAGACTTGTGGGAGAAGATGAGACTCCAATCGGGTTCCCGGTTTGGGAGTTAGAGTCCGATTTTACTATAGGCAAACTAGTTCCTTAAGAAACTTGAATTAGAGGTTTGATGCCCCAAAATCACCAAACGGCGTCAGTTTAGCACGAAACTTGGCACACACGACTGTCTAGGCATGAGAGACTTGTGGGAGAAGATGGGACTCCAATCGGGTTCCTGGTTTGGGAGTTAGAGCCGGATTTCACTCTAGGCAAACTAGTTCCTTAAGGAACTTGAATTGGAGGTGTTGACGCCCCAAAATCACCAAATGGCGTCGGTTTTGCACGAAACTTGGCACACAGGACCATTTAGGCACGAGAGACTTATGGGAGAAGACATGACTCCAATCGGGTTCCCGGTTTGGGAGTTAAAGCCGGATTTCGGTCTAGGCAAACTAGTTTATTAAGAAATTTGAATTGGAGGTGTTGACGCCCCAAAATCACCAAACAACGTTGGTTTAGCACGAAACTTGGCACACACGACCGCCTAGGCACGAGAGACTTTTGGGAGAAGACGGGACTTCAATCGGGTTCCCGATTTGCGAGTTAGAGCCGGATTTCCATTTAGCCAAAATTATTTACTTAATTATATATGTAATTATATAGTAGTTAATTTTTTATGTTTTTTTGTAATTAAAATATTAACACCTAATTATATTGTCATTAATTATTTTTATTTTTTGTTTTCAGATATTTCTCAAGTAGCAGTTTGCTTTTGTGGAATACAGGCGTTTGAAGATTGCGATTTACTTTTATTTTTGTTACCCACGGAAGAATCATGAGGGAAACTTTTGTTTTTTATTTACGTTATTTTGAATTGTGAACAACATTATGTATTTAAACATTGTATATGTATTATGCAATATTATGTAGTGGGATAATTTTGCTAATGTGTTGTAATAAATGAATGCAAGAAATTTTTTATTATGGATGAATTGTTATTTTTATACTGGAATTTTTATATTATTATGTAATTATTAGTTTCTTTTTCAATTATTTGTCATTTAATACAGGTAATTTTCATATTTTTAATAATTTTATTACAGTTTTTTTGTTTTGAGACGACATCACATTACCGTCACAAATAATATTGGCAGAATTGAGGTAAGCCTTTTGCGACGGTACCCTTAGCCGTCGCAAATACTCTTTTAGCGACGGACATCGTGTTGTCTCAAATAATTTTTTAGTGACGGCAGGTATCCCGTCACAAAAAATTCTTTAGAGACGGCTTTTTTGTCGTCGCAAATAACACCTTTAGCGACGGGAAAATAGTGCCATCTCAAAAAATCTCAGATTTTTCCATATTAATGGCGATGGAAAAATTCCGTCGCAAAAAAGGCAACTTGCCGTCGCAAAAAAAAGGCGACGGCAACATGCCGTCGCTAAAACCTTTTTGCGACCTCCTTTGTTGCGACCTCTCACTTGCCGTCGCTAAAAGCCATTTGCCGTCGCAAAAAAACCGTTTGAGATGGCATTTTGAGTATTTGCGACGGTATTTTACCATCGCAAAAAGTCAATTTTTTTGTAGTGTGGGCCCTATATATATATATTTTTTAACCTTCTTTATCTATTAGATTTTAGTAGAATAAATAATTTTGCCCAAATTTTTTTACCTAGGTCTTTATCAGTTTTAATTGAATAATTTTTTCCTAATTTTTTTGCCCTAATTTTGTTTCATTAAATTCTTTTGTTTATAATTTTAATGATTATATGTGCAAGTAAATTTTTTTGTGGCTACAAATAAATAAAAAAGTTATAACTTATCGTTTATTCATGAATTTTTTTTTTTCAATGTAAGAGGGGCCCTCATTTTCAAAGTTCGCCTTAGGCCCCCTAAATCTCAGGGCCGGTCCTGAATGAAACTGAGCTTAGTTGCTGTAACTTTGATATTGAAGACTTAAGTGCAGTATGCTTGATAATCACCAAATGAATTATCAAACACAAGTATTCTGAATATAAAAAAATGAACATGTAATTTAGATAAATATTTACTACATTTTAAATATAAAAAACTGTGAAGTGTTGATATCCTGGTTCAAACAGCTAAACCATTAGTCATTTAGAAACTGAGAATAATTGTAAACAAACAGATCAACATGTAAATCCATTTAAAAGAATAAAATAAAAGATCACGAACCTCTTGCATGCTTTCCTTAGCAGATAGGGCAGCATTGCTGGCCTTGTCCATCATCTAGTTGCCCTTTTGCTGAAACAAATATAACAAACATTTGCACATCAATCTCCTTTTTTTCTTTTTTCTTCTTTTTCTGTGCTCTTAATCTCCTAACGAGGTGAAAGAGTTCTGACTAACTAAACTAACTAGTTAATTATGTGCACCAATTAATATGTGCCATGGATGTTGAGAAGTACATAATTGTGGAGATCTCAGAGTTACTCAAATTTATAGTTTTTCAAAGCAATCCATTGCTTGACATGTGTACTAACCATGTGGAAGGCAATTGGACAGGTGTTACCTTCTGTTGAAACTTGGGTTTTTGTCATTGGACAAGGGAGGGAGATGTTGTGGAGATCCATTATTCACTATCATCAGTTATTCTATTCAAAGGTGGTTGAGATTTTAGAGGATATTTGAAGAGTTCTGTTTAAAGAAAAGGTTCTTGTTTATGGCTTATGATATATATATATATATATACAACAACATTGGAAGTTGTAGCCTTGGGAAGGGAGAGCTTTGCCTAGATTGAACCACTGATATATTTAATTAAACATGAATGGTTGGAAGATTTTAATTAAGCTGATTTTTGTTGAAATACATAGGAAAGATTTATAGGTATTTAGAGCATATTTGGTTCATTATATGGCATAAGAAATAAAGCATATTAAAAAAAAAAAAAAGTTGTGCTTGTCTATTGGCACACTTGTATATCTACCCAGTGTCATTCAAGAAGGGAAAAAAACAGAGCCTGAGCATCAACAACTAAAATTTCCTCTCATCAACTGTATAACTCTGAAGCAATAGAAGGGAAAAAAACAGAGCATGAGCATATATAATGTATATCAATCAATACTCCTTAGAGAAAGAAGTGTAAGCATATATAATCTATATCAGTATACTCCTAAATTTTTCCATTAAGTTACCTACTAATAATATTCTTAAATTGTTCAGTACCTTAAATCAATTGCTATCTACCTAATAATACTATACATATATACATGCATATAACTTTACTCAGCAATTTAAGCAATTCTTCACGATTGCTTAAATAAAGCAACAAAAGTTTGGAATTAAACATAACTCGGAGCTCATATGTGCTTCAAATGTAGAAAAAGAAGAAAACCCTAAAATGATTTTATCAAAATCCTACAGCATCAAAAATAAAATAAAACCCTAGATCCGCGATGGTGAAATGGGGAAATAGAGGAAGGAAAAAAGAGAGAGAGAGAGAGAGAGAGAGAGAGAGAGAGAGAGAGAGAGAGAGAGAGAGAGAGAGAGAAAGAAAGAAAAACCTGAATGTGGTTGGGAGGGGGGCCGCGATGGTGAGCGACGATGGCGAGAGCCGCGATGGTCGGTGGTGGAAGTTCGATGGTGACTGTTAGCAGGGATATCAATTTCGATCTGTCCTCTCCCATTCACCAGGTAACTAATTTGTACTTCTAGAGAGAGAAATGAGATAGCAATTTCATATTTGATCGAACATTGGTTTGGAGGAAATTGAAACTCTTAGGTTTGTCTGAAATTGTTGTGTTTTGTTGCTTTGTTTCTGCATTGATGCATTGATAAGATCTAGGATTGTATTTTTTTTTTTTTGATTTCATTGATTCACAAATTGAAATTCATTGATTCACTAATAAGATATCAATTATTATTATTATTATTATTTTTATTTTTATTTTTATTATTATTTTTGAATTTCTCTGCATTCTCTATTCCATTTCTAGGTCTGTCTTTCTTGGTTTTTCTTGGTTGCTTAAAAGGGAGGTTGAATATGTATATGTATTTGTAAATAAAAATGTATATTGAAGCTTAAAATGCTCAATAATATCTTGAAATATAATTTGATCTATAAGTGTAACTGCTGTAAATTCATATTTTTTTTTGGGCTTAAATAGAGCAACAAAGGAATTTGAGCAGATGTATGTTCCTTAAATATGATCTATAAGAAGTATAACTACTTTTTTCCTCTTGTAAGATATATATTCATTCCCAAATAAGTTATCTGGGTATGTAAAATAAGAATGAAGTGACTTCTTATATATTAATTGATATATAAAAAATACAAATGAAACCAGAAGTCAAAGATCTGTGAAGTAAATTTAAAACAACTTATTAACCATGTGTGTATAAGAGGATGTACTAGTTGCTTTCATCAATGACCCCCACCTCATTTGCAGTTTTGCCTGCTTCATTGGAATATTAAATCATTGCCAACCAAATAGATACGATACTTATGAAGTAGAAGTGATGCAAGAATGAAGTTTTGGTCAATCCTTTCTAACTCAGTCTATTTAATCAAAGATCAGTTAGTAATGCCAACAATAAGGGGAAAGTTTCTTAAGCAAAGTTCTATAATATTTTTAATCTTGTCATCATGCTCTAAGACTAGCCTTTTTCAGTTGTTTGACCTTTAAGGTGAATACAGGACTACATAATCAATGCTTAGGTTTGTAACTCTAAAATCAATGACATGTAATGTTCTGTTAATATGCAAGCATCTTCAATTTGTTTTTGTGCCTTAATGTACTTGAGTAGTATTTCAATGTATCCTTTAAAGCTATATTACATGGACCTGGGGATAGGTATAGGTCTAAGTGTCCAGTCATCTAACCCACATAGAAACGCACACCTGGAGATGAAGCTCTAACCCACCCACATAGCCACTTTAGTTTTAATGCAGTCGGATAGTACCAGCAAATCTAGTTGCTTACCCAGGAAAACAACATTCCTCAGCTTCCAGATGGACCACAATACTACCAGAGGTAAGGCTTTCCAAAATTTTCTATTCAAATTTGTTGAATGTGAACCCAGACCACCAAAGCAATACTCCTTCCACAGATTTTGGCATCACCCAATGGATCCCCCACCATAGTAGCACATCAGACCAAATTCTCCAGATATGTGGGCACCATAGTAGCACATGGTTCACAGTCTGGTTCAGCATTATAGAACACACAATCCATATTGGCATTGCCATTGATAACACAAACTCTTTGCAAGTATGTAGCAGTCTTCAATCTTTGTCTCCAAGCTAACCAAGCAAAACATCTGACTTCGGGTGGCGTTACATTCTGCCAAATCATCTTATCAACTCCTCTTATATCATTGGAATTTGGACTAAAGTATAAACTAACCAGAGCTCTTGGCTTTCCATAACAAATTGTCATCCTTATCTGCCCTCAAAGCATTGGGTGATCCTAAATAAATAGGAAAATGGTCAAAATAATGTTTTAAGATGAATAAAGATTGTCAAAACTTGACTATTTCTCAAATCTCATTTTTGGGATTTATAGCAAATTTCTTGTAATCTACTAAAATTAGTGACACCACCAGGTACAAGATAGTTAAATAAAAAAAAAAATTTCAAAAGTTTTATAAAGCCAAATAAGAGGTGCCTCTTTTTATTTTTTTCCTTTTGAGCTTTAAATTAGAAATTTTATGCGAACAAAAGACGAGGACAAAATTTGACTAGTAACAGAGCAATTAGCCACTTCTTGAGTGCATAACTTAGATTAATTTTACATCCTTGATTGAGTGGAAAGAAAAAATAGGATTTATGTAGCCTTTTTCAAAGGAATTGAATTCATGATTCACCTTTTGTAGTCAAGAGATTAGATAGATTCCTTTGAATTAAATGCATGTCGTAATTAGCTTAATGTTTTGTCAATAACAGCACAATTGGGTTTTGTTAATTATAGTTCTTCCAACATTTCTCATGTTCAATACAGAAGAAAATCTTGCCTTTTGGCATTGTTTTGTGTTCAGTTTTCTCTAGGTTTTTTGGCATAGCAGTTGAGTTTGTCTTTGCCCTTTGAAGTTTGAAATGATTGCTAATGATAGTTTCATTTTGTTCAATGATTATTATAAGCTCACACTTCTTGTAGTTAATGTTTTCTTAGTATTTTAGTCTATTTTAGACTTATTTCAGTACTTTTCTTCTTTCCATTCTTCATTCCTTTCCTGTTTACCTTTTAATTCTATGTTTAGGACTGTGTTACTTTTTTTCCATGGAACTATGCTTCAATAACAAATTGCATGGTAATAAAGATGTGCTGATTAGATATCATAGCACTTAGCTTCTAGTTTTGTTAAATAAGCATCAATACTTAGGTACTAAGCATTTTACCATGGAGGTCTTTGCATTTAGATTTACCATTTATAACTACCCATCTCAATTGATTTCATATTGGCTTCTGATTTTGGCTCAAAGAAGCTCAGAAAATCTATTATTATTTGTGCTTTGTTGTAAAAGATACATCTATAATATTTGACACAATTTTATTGGTTCAATTTTGTTAGTAACTTGGTAAGGTTCTACATTCTTATGGACCTTAGGTAGACATATCAGCCTTTCACCATTTGCAAAACAAAAATATTTAGTGTGTTTTTTGGGCTATATTCATTCTTTAACTTTAGTTTGTAACTGTATCAAGTTATTGATTATTTCAGAAATATTTTTTTTTGCAGGAGAAAGATGCAGCTCTTGGAAATGGGGGTCTGGGAAGGCTTGCTTCTTGCTTTCTAGATTCTATGGCAACATTAAATTTGCATGCATGGGGGTATGGTTTGAGGTACAGATATGGGCTGTTCAAGCAGCGGTTTGGCAAAGAGGGCCAAGAAGAAATTGTCGAAGACTGACTTGAGGTTTGATTTTACATGATAGTCCTTTTAAATATTGATTATATTATGGGAGGGTACTAAGCCTAAATTTGGTGGGAATTGTGCAGAAGTTTAGCCATTGGGAAGTTGTCAGACATGACATTGTGTTCCCTGTCAGATTTTTTGGTCAAGTTGAAGTACATCCCTCTGGATCGTAAGTGTGACTTATAGGATTCTTTGCGTATAACTGGATTGTTGCTCATATGTTTAGGTTCAAGAAAGCGATTATAAGTCTTAGTTTGATTCTGAATTTAAATTTGTAGTTGCGTGGTTGCTTGGATTTTCTGCACATTCTCCATGTGATGGTTCTTTCTGAATGCATTACAGGCGGAAATGGGTTGGTGGGGAGGTTGTACAAGCTCTAGCATATGATGTTCCTATTCCAGGATACAAAACCAAGAACACTATTAATCTTCATCTGTGGGAAGCCAAAGCTGGTGCTGAAGACTTCAACCTCTTTCAATTTAATGATGGACAGTATGAATCGGCTGCACAGCTCCATTTTAGAGCTCAGCAGGTTGGTTTTTCCTTACTATATAAAGGAGAGTGAGCCTCCCTTTTTGGCCAAAGAACACAATTCATGACATACTACCATGGTCCCTTACATTCTTGTTGTCCAAAATGTCATTCACTTCTTTCAAAACCTCTGCTATCTTTCTACTCTAGGGCTGTGAATAATTGTCCAGGGAAAGTTTGGTTTTGGTCTTCATTCTGAGCTGTAATTGTGAAATACAAAATCATTGAAGGAAAAATCAGTATGTCCTGAATTAAAACTGCTACGTTTTTCTTTCTCATAATAAATGCTCAGACTAAATGTAACTGTAACTGTTGGAAAGTTGCTTCTGTTCTCATCTGTGTTTCAATTGTTTTTGTGTGGTATAGTGATCTGGAAATGTGCCTTTGCAAATTTGTGCTGTTCTTTATCCTGGGGATGCCACAAAAAATGGAAAGCTTTTGCGATTGAAGCAACAATTTTTCCTGTGCAGTGCATCACTTCAGGTTGGCTGCCTTTTCCATTCTGTATTTGTTTAGGCCCCCCATCCTTCTTTAGTACTAAGTTCGTGATTCCTTTTTCTTTCCTCTTTACTTATTTTAACTTTATTGCTGAATATTCAATCTATCGTGCTACTTCCCACTGTGTTGTACTCACACGGGTATCAATCTCAGGGAAGCATGGTAATTGTTTGTTTCAGATTAAATTCACCATGCATAGAAAACAAGCAGGCGATAAGGAAGCTTCCTAAACCGTAAACACTCAGATCGGCCCCGACCGCTCGCGATTAACTTCGTGGGACCTTAGGCAAATCAGGCTGTAGCTCTATGGTAGGGGTCACAGCCTAGACTTTGCTAGACCTTATTTGGGTACCACACTATACCTACTTCTGCTACATTCCAGACTAAGCACCCCTCTAATTAACGAATTCTCATACACAATAAATCTCGGTAATATTAGCATCGCATTGACGTGAGGATCCTGTACATGCGACTCATAAATGTAGAATCGCCTTCTGAGGGACTCTTGTAACAACTCTTGCCAACAAGGACCTTCGCCAAAACCAATTTCGTTATTATTCCTCTTTAAACGTTTGTATATGCTATCCACCCATTACATACTTCTCTCAGCACCTATTTTCTCGTTGCCAAACTTTTCCTAATGCTGTATTCAATAGTCCGCTAAAATAATAGAACTCTTTTAGACCACCTATATCCCTATCTTGGCTCTGATAGATAGATAACAAAAAAACTTCTGGGGGAAGAATTTTCTTAGACTTAAACCTCAGAGGTAAGGGACCTCTCGCTAGTACCCCAGACCCCCTAAACCTTCTAAACAAATTCCATACTGCTCCCCTTATTACTCGTCAGAACCTAAATGTGGCAACCTCCCTAATGAATGAGCACTCTAAACCCGGAGATACACCCATGGTAACTTCGCACATGCACTGTATACTGTTGGGGCAACACCTAATCTCTCCTCACCCATCATGGTAAAACTTTATGAAGACCAAATGCGACGCTCCTGTACTCATCAGATGGATCATACCTGTCTTTATTTTCTCTTCCCTTTATTTGATGATAATTGTATTTCACAATTTAATTTTTGATAAAAGGAAGATGAAAATTTCCTTAGATGCAGTTCACGCTTAAATCATTGTATCTCGGGCTTTAATGAATGCCTACCCTAGAAATTACAACAAACAACCACGAAAACTCTGGCATTAAAAGTAAAGCTCTCTCCGAAGACGCGATATCGATAAACAATCCCCCAATAGAACCAGGGTTTGTCCAAAGGCGACGTCTATGAGCAAACCTTATGACAGATCCGCGTTTTTACATTACCAATCCCTAGGATAATAACCTTGCAGGCTCCATATACATTTGATAGCGCCTAAAACCTAACCAACAAGATTATACCTTTAAAACCTCGTCAAATAACACCCCCTTTAAAATCTAAAACTCAGCTTTTAAAATGAGAGAAAATTTACTCGACACAGCAGTATCAAGTTAGTTGACAATGCCTTGACATAGCAGAAAATAATAGTATTAAAAATCACATTCAATTAAGTTTTCACTGAGCAACCTATACACCATCACTCACGAATTATTGAATATATAGATAGTTTTCTCATCTTTCTTATTGTTAACACTACAATTTCTTCTATGTGATCTTGGTGATGTAATCTCTTGAGTGGAAATTTTAACCTTTCTCCTAACACTAGAAATAGGACTCATCTTACTTCAAAAAGATAATTAGAAAATATCCCTTGATACATCGCATTAGAATAAATCGTCCACGCATTGTCACCACATAACTATCTGGATATATCGTTGCTATAATTTGCATTTTCCTTGCCTTTTTATTTATGTCGTATATGCAACGTTCCTGCTCCATATTTGTTAAGCCCTTAGATCCAAACTAATACCATTTTACATACCATTACTCTCCTCATAATCTCCGCTTTGATACAATCTCTCATTATAGGACAATGAAAAAAGAGTGGCCTTATACTCCTCTGTTGTGGAGACCCCCCAAATAATTTCTCTCAGAATAGAAGTTACGCGCAAACCTCGTTGAATGGTACGTTGAATGCGATCTTGTAAGCCATTCACGTGATCATATTTCAGACCTAAGTCTAGAGTTTACCTTGAACGAACTATGTCTCTATTATGGCCTTAACGCACCGTCTCAACCAAACCACATAAATAAACCAAACATGGCCCCTCATTAAACTCCTCAACAGATAGGCTTTGATTTTAATGTTAGCCCTTGAACTTCAGCCCACATCATCCACCAAATCGGTTAAAAAGTTCCACCTAATTGGATGGTGAGCCACAAACCTTGACCTACTTTAGATCTTTCAGAACCAGATATATATATCGCTCCCTACGGATCATGATTTCTTTTAAGAATCAATACACTCAACACATAAAATCAGCTGTCTCAAGGGTAAAATTTTTATGATTCTCTTAACCTCCCTAACTGGTATCTACTATCTTCACTTCTAAACCTGTCTTTCTTTCAATTTGGTACTCTGAAAACCGAAACCGGAAAACCCCAAAACCCAAACACAAACCCAAATCCCAAACACCATATCATACCCTAAAAGTGATCGGCCAAACCATAAACAAGCTAAACGCACTGAAAATTCACTCCGACAACCTCCGAAAACCCTTCTTTAACACCCCAAACCCTAACCCTAAACCTCAAATTCGCAAAACTAACCCAGCTCCAACCCTACCATACCCTATCCTAACCACCTAAACCCTAAACCGTAAAACCCTAAGCCCCTAACCCCCTAACCTAAAACATTCAAACACCCAATCCACCCCCAAAACCCAAACCCTAAACCCACCACCGATCCGAGGGACCTCGATAAAGACCTCCTGTAAAGCCTAAACGTATAAAACCCCCCTACTCACCCCATACCACCCAACCCCAACCCCCCCCCAGTAGCACCCAAACCCTAAGAAATCAAACACCGAATCCCAACCAACACCCAAACCCCTAAACCCTCAATTCGTTCAAACCCCTATTCCTTATAGAACCCCTCCACGAAAACGCCAATACCTTCCTCAGCACACATAACCCCTAAGAACAAAACTAAACCTTAACCCCCTAACCCTAACCCCTAACCCTAACCCCCAACTCTAACCCTACATCCTTAGGGTTTAGGGGTTTGATGATGATGATGATGCGTGGACGCTCTTGAGCAAGATGCCAAGTCCACAACGCGTGCAGAGCGAACATGATATTCATAATTTTGGCGTTGCGGAAGTTCGAAGAATTATATAGGATCAACATTCGGCTCGCCAATAATGCGGCAAAAAGGTCTCCGCCACGCACTTAGTGCCAGCATCCATCAGGCGGTGACGAGGAACTGCTGTGCTTGAATGTGGCTGCGAGAAGGTTGGAGCTCAGGGTGAATGTACGATTCGCGGATCATGGATTCACGAGTCAGTGACTTCTGTGATCTAAGTATGAGATCGTGGGGTAGTGCAGACTCATTTACGCATTAGTGGAGTGCGGTCGGGAGGCGCTTATGTTATTCATACTTTGTCCGGAACTGTTTCTTCAACGGCATTGTAGGGTCGCTTAGTAACCTAAGAAAGTGGATCCGGGAGTGTAGATGTGGGACAAGTAGGAGAGTATGTCGAAACTCTAACCACTCTCAGATTCTCCAATTTGGTAGGCGTCCAAGTGGAGTTATTCCCGTCAATCCTTAGCTTGATCCATGATTGTTGGTTCGCAGATATGATGGAACATCGAGTCGGTGGATTTCTGCTGAGGGGGAATTATAGGAATGTATGGAAGTCTCCCAATCAATGCGCGGTCTCAGATGAATCCGGTAAGCTTCACTACTCCTAAATGTTGAATCCTTGTGAAATTTTGCCATTCTAAATTCAATTATGCCCATGACATTAATAACAATCAATAGACAAAATTAAAAATAATACTCAATGTTAGTGCCTGTATTATCCTTTTTTAACGTTGGGAATTCACCATATACCAATTGAATTTCTGCATTGACAACTTTGACAACAACAACAACAACAACATATAATAATAATAATAATATAATAATAATAATAAAATGCTGTATAATAATGTTTATTTTTCTACATCTCATGCCATTATTGTCTTATTATAATTAAAGTGAATTCATACGATTTAAATTCAATATTTAGTAGTTGAATCATCGATGTCACTATTTCAAATATTTTAGCAAAAACAATTCAACCCAGATTTGCAATAATTTCCTGTTGATAAAAATTTGAATTATTTATTACTAGTTATAATATTTTGCTTTTAATTATATTATTTAGCCATTGATTATTATTATTGTCCAATTAACAGAATTCAACTGAGTAATTGGTGGAATCAACGTTGAAAAGATAATATTCTCCATGAGTTATATTTTAGTGTTGATTATTATATTACAGATTTGGAATTCAGTTAATGGATTTCCAAAGGAGTTTTTCAACATTTTTTATAGTGAAGCTTTTACAGGGACTTCATTGGACTTGCGCAGTTGAATTTTGGCCTTTTCAGTTCGATTATTCCCATACTTCCGCGAGAATCCACCTAGTCGATGATTCAAGTTCTACTACGACACCGAATGTCATTGGATTCATTGCTGGGGATGTCGATGGACAACGCACTTGGCGCCTACTCAAATGGAGTTTTTTTGAGGGAGTCGGGTCGGGCAATCCCTACTTCTCCATACTTGAATTCACTTTGTTGGGTTACGATGGCGGCCTCATGCTCTGGAAGTATTTCCAGACAAGTGATGTGAATAAATGGCCTGTGCTCGACCGCACTCACTTAATCCGCAAAATTGCATCTGGCTACTCCACGATCTCCTTCCAGCATATCCGTGGGTCATTGATCTCGTGTTGAAATGATATGCGAATTGATTAGATTTCACTTCGTACTCGACCTTCTTACTGCCCATTCAGCAACAGCAGTTCTTCGCCACTCCCTGATGGATGCTGCACTAGTT